CATACATTTGAAGAAACCGGTTTACAACTTTTAAAAGTAGGCGTTTCGGTAGCGATGTCAAGAATATAACAGATCAACAACTTCAAAATGTGTATGAAAATATGCACGAGAGAGTAAATTTTGAACATAATACATATGTAATGTTTTTATCGCAAATATGACAATATAGCTTACAAATGGTATGAATTTGAATTTATTTTATATTGCAGCCACGAGACACTTAAAAAATTTCTCCAGGCAAAATTTACTACCACACTGTGAGTATCAAATATTTTTAATTGTTTAATTTTTTTAAATTTAAATGTCTCATGATTTATTTCTATTTTTTTGTTCATCAAATTCAATAAAAAAAATTATTATTCGTCGATATTTATATTTAGGTCGCTCGAAAACATTTTAGGTACACTACTTTGAAAGTTAAAATAATTATGAGTGACCTTTAGAAATTATAATATCGATTTGAAATTTTCAGAATAAAAATTTTTTTCAACCTAGAAAATGATAAAATAAAAAGAAAAAAATCAATTTTTGCCGATTTTGGAAATTTTAAAAAATCTTGAGCGACCTCTAAAAATTTGTTTGAGCTGATTTTTTGAGGGGGCTCTTAAAACATGATAAACAACATATTTTCACAAGAGACGCAAAAAAATATTCGTTCTTTTGGGCCACCCTAATATTTATGAAGTTCGAGATACTGCACTTTTAAGTGAAATTGATTAAGGATAAGCAGTCAGATTTTTTATAAAAAAAATATGTAAAGTTATTTTCCGTAAAGTAATTTCCGAAAAAAAATCATTACAGCAAGCCAAGTATCTGGATCATTGTAATTGGTCCTATCTAGATGCCCACTACGTTAAAATAAAATAATTTGAGACATGATTCCCAAAAGCTGTACGTGTTCTTAATGTTAATTCAGTGTGTTAGAACTTACTTAGAATCTAAAGTCAACTGAAGTTGTACATCTTGAATATAAAAAAAATGTAATTATTCATATACAAAGTTATATAATTCATAGTTATGTGAGACTATCTTATATTTATTTATTTCGTATTATAATTTTCCATAGCTACGTCAACTTTCCCGTCTCAGTCGCTACTTCAGGTGCTATATTCAGAAAAAAGTCTTAAAGTTATCGGTAAATCAGCTTACTCACTTATAACAGAGTCCTTGAAAGAATTATAGTGTTCCAATGATTTTTATGATTTTTTTATGATTTTTTTTCTCTTAACTCGTAACTTCTTGCCATCATCATAACACGGGTTCATTCCAAATAACAAACATTCTCAATGTCTTCCAAGTCCCTTGCTTTTGATTGTGGTGATCCTGTCGATCTTCTTTACTTTGACTTCTCCAAAGCCTTCAACAAAGTACCCCAAGATGACTATTCTTAAAATGTGACCATTTGGGAATTTGTGAACGACTGAACTCATACGAGTACATTCATAACTACATGAACTGTTTTATGTTCCTATTCTTTATTAGATATTTCTTATTTCTAGCAAGTACGGTCCGATATACCATAAGAGTCTAGCCTTAGACCTCTTCTGTTTCTAGAATTCAGCAGATCTTGATTGATTTGAATACAGTCGAATCGATTAAGATTAAAAATGAATCAATATCATCTCTGATTGAATTATTTATCTAGATTTCTAGATACTCAATGTTTATTATTTGCCGTTTCCTAACTGCATTTACCAGACACTTTTCACATTACAAGAAGTAAACCTTGCCTTTTAAAAAGTTGCAATTTTTACATTTCCATTGTGTATACATCCTCCATATGATGACGTGTTATTCCCAATCCAGCCGAATCCCATATTGAATGGGAATCTAAATGGGTTAGTCACACACATATACAGCGGTACCTAAATGCGATGAATTAATTTCAATCTTCGAACAGCTTCTATACAACCGCCACCCACGGTAATTGAAATGAAAATGTAAACAGCACAATACGCACATCTATATCGGGCAAGAATTTTCCGAGCTTTCCCACATAATCGAATATATATGAAAGGGGACGGAGCAGAGAACTCGACGATAAGAGTAAATACGGGACAGGTAGAGTTTTCTGGCGTTCAATTTGCACGAGTAAATTTAATTTTGTAGGTACTACATAACGCAACTTATAAGTAGTCCTACGATTTATTTAGTTTATTGATTCCTTACAATTCGCGTAGCTATTTATAAATTCTTCAATTGAGAACGGGAAAAATATACGTGAATGAATTCTAATTATAGTAGGATATAAAATGCAGATGGAAATTCAAAATAATCGGTTTCAGATTGATGGATCTGAATTTATTTAATATTTCCTTAGTTATACAGGGTGTTTTCACTTTAAATTTGGAATTTGGATCGCATTAGCCAGTGGCGTGCAAAGAGGGATGCGTGGCCCCTTTTTCAAAAAACAAATGAACGCCATTGAGTTTTTCGAAGAATGTAAAGTAAATTTAAATACTACTTTACAAAAGCAATCTAAAAGGTCTCTTGGTATTTTTCGATAATACGCAGCGTTCATGAGATTCTTGGATTATTAAGATTTCAATGCATGAAAAAAAGAAGAATGTAAAGTAAATTTAAATACTACCATACAAAAGCAATCTAAAAGGTCTCTTGGTATTTTTCGATAATACGAAGCGTTCATGAGATTCTTGGACTATTAAGATTCCAATGCATGATAACATGGCACGGTAGTGCTGAATGAGAAAAAGAGATATTTTTCTTTGAATTCAAATCCTGCATTAATATTTACAGCAACTTTTTTGTTTCGCAGCAAGCCAAGAACTTGTAAATATTTTCATTACTTTCCTCTACTCAATGTCGTAACGCCACTGGTTCAGGCGATAGGACTAATAATCTGTAAATTATGAGAACCCCCAATACGCATAATGTGTACCAAGTTTAAATCAAATCTACTCGTGGATAGCCGAGATATGTCAAAAAGTGTTTATTTTTTTTAA